CCCCTCCAAACAACTAGAAAATTGCCTCAGAATTGATCCAGGAGCAAGGAAGCAGCTTATCAGCATGACAGCAAAGGTCTCTCTCACTGGGGTGGGAGGGGAGGGAGGTCCAAGAGCCAGCCTCACAGCAGGGAGCCTGCAGCTAGGCTCCAAGCCTGGGCCCTCCCCTCATGGAAACCAGAGGCCCCCTAGGCAAGTGAGTAGTCTTTGCAGAGCAGCAAGCCTCCACCTCAGTGACTCTACCCCCCAGCACAGATTACCAATGAGGCCTTGACCCCACTGCTGAACAGGATTAAAACCTCACTCCAGGGCTGGCCAATGGTGAGACCCTGCTCCTGGAGTTTGCTAGCAAAGAGACCTTATTTCCATAGCAACCCAGCAGCAAGGCCCCACCACTGGGACAGGACAGCAGCTAAACCCCACACCTAGGAAAAGCCAACAGAGAGGCCCCATCACCACCCCCCCAGTACAATACAGTGAAAGCAAACAGCTAAGCCCTGAAACCCAGTGAAAGCCAGCAGTAAGACTGAGAGCCCCAGCACAAAAACCTTGGGACAGTGCAAGACCAGAGCCCAATTCTCACATAAAAAGAGCAAGTCACAAAAAAGGCAGAAAATGGGTAAAAAAAAAAAAAGGAAGGAAGGAATTGACTTTAGAAAGTTACTATGGTGACAGGAAGGATTAAGGCATAAACTTGGAAGAGGACAGTAGTGTCAAAATGGCTAATGGCTACATGTGAAGCCTCAAAGAAAAATGTAATTTGGTCTCAGACACAAAAAGAATTCCTGGAAGAGCTTGAAAAGGATTTTTAAAAGCAAATGAGAGAAGTAAAAGAAAAATTGCAAAAAGAAATGAGAGTAATACAAGAGAATCATGAAAAAAAGAGTCAATAGAATGGAAAAAGATATACAAAAATTAACTGAGGAAAATGACTCCCTAAAAAATAAAATTGGCCAAATGGAAAAAGAAGTATAAAAGCTCACTGAAGAAAATAATTTCTTAAAAATTAGAATTGAGCAAGTGGAAGTTAATGACTCTATGAGACACCAAGACACTATAAAACAAATTTTTTAAAGTTAAAAAAGAGAAAATGTGAAATTTCTCATTACAAAAAACATCTGACCCAGAAAATAGATCCAGGAGAGATAATATAAGAGTTATTGGACTACCTGAAAGCCATGATTAAAAAAAAAAAGCCTGAACATTAACTTTCAAGAAATTATCCAAAAAAAGCTTCCCTGACATATTAGAATCAGACAGCAAAATAGAAATTGAAAGAATCCACCAATCACCACATCACCACTTGAAAGAGATCCCAATATGAAAACTTCAAGGAATATGATAGCCAAATTCCAAAGCTTACAGATCAAGGAGAAAGTACTGCAAGCAGCCAAAAAGAAACAGTTCAAATATCATGGAGCTACAGTCAGGATTACACAGGATTTGGCAGCTTCCACATTAAAGAATCAGAGGGCTTAGAATATGATATTCCAAAAGGCCAAAGAGTTAGGGTTACAACCAAAAATCACCTACCCAGCAAAATTGAATATAATCTTTCATAGAAAAATGAAGGTTAATAAAATGGAGGACTTTCAAGCATTCCTAATGAAAAGACCAGAGCTGAATAAAAACTTTGACCTCCAAATACAAGAATCAAGGGAAATATTAAAAGGTAAAAAAAAAAAGAAAGAAACAAGAGAGAGAAAATATGAGATATTCAATAAGGTTCAACTGTTTATATTTCTATATGGCAAGATAACATTTGTAATTCTTAAGAACTTTATTACTATAAAAACAATTAGAAGGAGCACATATAGACAGAGGTGTGGATATAAGGTGACATGGATGGGATTATACCACCCCCCAAAAAAATAAAGGGGTAAGAAAGAAACATTGCACTGAAAGAAGAAAGAGGGAGCTTGAATGGAGTAAATTATCCTGCATAAAAGAGACATGAAAGAGCTATTGTAAAGGAGGGGAAAATGAGGGGGTGGGCAAAGCTTAGACCTTATTCTCATCAAAATTGGCTCAAATTGGGAATAACTATACACCCTCAGTTTGGTACAGAAATCTATCTTACCCTATAAGGAAGTAAAAAGGAATGGAGATACGAGAAGAGGGGACTGACAAAAGGGAGAGTAGGTTGAGAAGGTGGTGATCAGAAATAAAACACTTGTGAGGAGGTAAAAGGTTTGGGATAAGATGAGGGGGATAAACAAGAGGAAAAGATGGGGCAGCTAGATGGCACAGGGGATAGAGCACCAGCTCTGAAGTCAGGAGGACCTGAGTTCAAATGCGGCCTCAGACCAAACACTTGACACTTACTAGCTGTGTGACCCTGGGCAAGTCACTTAACCCCAGTTGCCTAAAAAAAAAAAAAGAGGAAAAGAGCATGGAGGGAAATACAGTTAGTTATCATAACTATAAATATGAATGGGGTTAACTCTTCCACAAAATGGAAGTAGATAGCAGAGTGGATTAAAAACCAGAATCCTACAATATGTCATTTATAAGACAAACATTTGAAGCAGAGAGATACATACAGGGTAAAGGTAAGGGGGTGGAGCAGAATTTATTATGCTTCAGCTGAAGTGAAGAAAACAGGGGTAGCAATCATGATCTCAGATAAAGCAAAAATAAAAATAGATCTAATTTTAAAAGATGAGGAAGGAAACTATATCTTGCTGAAAGGTACCTTAGACAATGAAGTCATATCAATACTAAACATATATGTACCAAATGGTATAGTACCTAAATTTTTTAAGGAGAAGTTGAATGAGTTACAGGAGGAAATAGATAATAAAACTGTACTAGTGGTGGACCTCAACTTTTCCATCTCAGAACTAGATAAATCTAACAAAAAAATAAACAAGAAAGAAGCTAAGGAGGTGAATAAAATTCTGAAAAAGCTAAATATGATAGATCTCTGGAGAAAATTGAATGAAAATAGAAAGGAATATACCTTTTTCTCTGTGGTACATGACATCTACACAAAAAATGACCATGTATTAGGACATAAAAACTCACAACTAAATGCAGAAAAGCAGAAATAGTTGATGCATACTTTTCAGATCATAATGCAATAAAAATAGCATTCAATAATGAACAAAGGAAAGAGAGATTATACATTAATTTCAAATTAAATAATATAATCCTAAAAAATAAATGGGTCAAAGAATAAATCATAGAAACAATTGATAATTTCATTAAAGAAAATGACAACAATAAGACAACATACCAAAATTTATGGGGTGAAGCCACAGTGGCACTTAGAGAAAAATTTATGTCTCTAATTGCTTACATCAGTACAATAGAGAACAGGCAGATAAATGAATTTGGCATTCAACTTAAAAAAAATTGAAAAAGAACAAATTAACAATCCCCAATTAAATACCAAATTGGAAATCCTGAAAATCCAAGGAGATTGATAAAAATTGAAAGTAAGAAAACCATTGAACTATTAAATAAAATTAGAAGCTGGTTTTATGAAAAAAAAAACTATAAAATAGATAAAACATTGGTTAATTTGATTTTACAAAAGGAAATAAGAAAACAAAACTACTGGTATCAAAAGTGAAAGGAGTGAATCCACGACCAATGAAGAGGAAATTAAGACAATTGCTATCAGCTATTTTGCACAACTATATATTAACAAATTTGACAATCAAATGAAATAGATGAATATCTGCAAAAATGTAAATTACCCAGATTAACAGAAGAAGAAATAAAATACTTAAATAACTCAATCTTAGAAAAAGAAATTGAACAAGCCATCAGTGAACTTCCTAAGAAAATATCCCCAGAACTAGATGGATTCACAAGTGAATTCTACCAAACATTTAAAGAACTATAAATCCCAATACTACATAACTATTTGGAAAAATAGATGAAGAAGGAGTTCTACCAAATTCCTTTTATGATGCAAATATGGAATAGGAATAGGACAAAGATCTGGAAATGAAGACAAAGAACAGGTTAAATAGAAGTGAGATTGTGGGAGAGGTAGAATGACAGAAGAGTGGTCAGAGAAGAAAATTTCATAGTTAAAGGTTCAGTCAGTCAATTAAGCACCCACTGTGTGCCAGGCACTATGATGAGCAGTGGGGATACAAAGAAAGGCAAAATATAGTCTCTGCCCTCAAAAGTTCACAATTTAATAGGGGAGGCAATAAGCAAACCAATATATACAAACACCCTAAATATTAGATACATAGGAAATAATCAAGAAGAAAAGCATTAGAATTAAAAGGTGTTGGGAAAGGCTTCCTGAAGATGGGACTTGAAGAGAGCCAGGGAAGTCAGAAGGAGGAAATGAAGAAGGGATGATGGAGGATAGCCAGAGAAAATGCCCAGAGTCAAAAGATAGAGTGTCTTGTTCATGGAACAGCAAGAAGGACAGTGTCACTGGATCAAAGAGCAAATGGCAGGGAGTAAGATGTAAGAAGACTAGAAAGATATGGTGGAGGGGGGTGAAAGGGAGTACCAAGTTATAAAGAGCTTGAAATGCCAAACAGAGGATTTTGCTCCTGGAAGGGAGCCAATGGAATTTATTGAATAATGACATGGCCAGACCTATGCTTTAAGAAAATTACCTAGGCTGATGAATGGAGGATAGATTGGATTGGCTCCAGAGAGACTTGAGGAAGGCAGACCCACCAGCAGGCTATAGTAATAGTCCAAATGTATCGGGGTCTGCACCAAGGCAGTGGCAGTATCAGAGGAGAGAAGGGAGTGTATTCCAGAGATATTATAGAGTTGAAATTTACAGACCTTGGCAAGATATTGGATATGGGAAAGGGGTGAGAGCTAGTGAGGAGTTAAGGATGAAATCCAGGTTGTGAGTATGAAGGCCTGGGAAGATGATGTTGCTTTTGACAGTAAAAGGGAAGTTAAGAGTGGGAAAAGGTTTAAAAGGGAAAATAATGAGTCCTATTCTGGACATCTTGAGTCAAGCATAAAAAGCATAATTCCTTTTTTTTTTTAATTTTTCTCTCTCACAGATCTACCTTGCAGCAAGGACAAGCTATCATCCAGTTTCTGCCAGACACTGAAAACTATGGGCAAATGCTCCATCATCACTCTAAGAGCTCAGTGCTGCTACACATGTGCCAGGCCTCCCACCATCCAGGCTCGACAGCAGAAAAATCAACAGGGCTTCAGAAAATCCAAACTGCTCTGAAGTCAGAAGGAATCCATCCTCCACCAAAGACAGCAACAACCTGCTAGACATGATGAGTTCTGGGCTCTGGGTTAATTTTATTGAGGTCTCAGTTCATTTATTTTATTTGAAACTGGGTCATTAAAACAATCCTATTGTGTCCCTCTATCCTAAGGGATGTTGTGGAGCTGTATGTAATATGTGCTGATCCCTGGCAGAAAGGTGTGATATCCAATCAGGTTAGCTCTATGGATTCCTGCCATTCGTTACAGGGTATAACTTCTATGAAAGGTACTGAATTGGATAATTCTATAAAGTCTTGTGCCTCCTCAAAGAAGGAAAAGTCTCATATTTCCATTCTACCTCAGGCATGCCAAGACAGAGAACTGTGGTTATAGAGGGTGCAATGAAATCCTACTGATTTCTCTCTATGAGTGCACCCCACCCTCTTACCTGCCCATCAAAACTGTTTAGCATCCTCAAAGGGATAGGTCTTAACAGTGATATTTACCTACACCTAACCCAGACTGAGGGAAAAGCTTTATCTGACCAATATCCAATGGAAAGCAGAATGGAAGAATTAGTATTTCCCTTCACTAATCACCCCCCCCCCATAGCCCTCTGTGTGGATTGTGTCTCTACTCTGAGATATTAGACTAATAGAAACAAGCTTAAACTGAATGCTGAGGAATTAAGGATGAATTGTTAAATACTGAGAGGGTCTACCAAAGGTGAGGGGGAAAAAAAACACCTGGCTGTCTGAAATATACATACATATATACATTCATAGTAATTTCTATTATAAAGTAATCTGCTTTTATTTTCTCTTCTACACCAGGAAATATCCTTTCACTAGGACAGAAGCAGATGCCTCTCCTCTACCTACCTGATTCTACTTCCAAGCTTATTCCTGATAAAATCACTTTACTGCTGATAGATCTGCTGTGGGTTACCCTGTGCAAATTAGTATAGACATATCATTAGCAACCCTGAGTTGAAGAATTAGATGCTAGAGGATGGTCAGTAAAACCGAAGTTAAACTTCAAAAAGAACAAGGAAATTGTGTAAAAGTAAGAACCTGGTATTAAATTCTCCAATCTAGTACAAGCAGCTTCCTCAATTATATCCTCAGAGAGCCTCAGCATTTAATGACATACTTTCCAGATTGATATAGACTACACTGTTTTAGGAAATGAATGAGTAATACCTGTTAGTGCCAATACGAAGGGTTTTTTAAAAGTTATTTGTTTTTTCCTGAGGACTGAAATAAGACTTTTATGGTTAGAACTGCTATTTTTGGGAGCTTTTGGCAGAGGGTTCACAAAATAAACACGATCATCCATAAGAAAGGGTTGTGATCGGTAGTACAAAGTCTGTAGCTTCAGTGATAAAGACTAATGAAGCTTGAATAGGCCCTCCATAAATACTTGTTCAGTAAAATTCAACAAGATTCTCCTATGTACTAGGTTTCATGCTTGGAGCTGGGAACATAGAGGCAAAAACTAATATTCCCTGCTCCCAGAGTTTACATTCTACTGGAGGAGGAAAAACACGTATACAAGTTAAAGTTTAAAAATATATCATTAGAGCATGGATAAAATAGTCTGATCAAGAGCATATACTTGTCTGGCCTCTGACACTTACTAGCTGTATGACCCTGGGCAAGTCACTGAACCCCGATTGCCTCAGCAAAAATACAGAAAACAACAAAAAAAGAGCATATATATATATATATATATATATATATATATATATGCATATGTATTTATATACTTTACAGTTATTAAATAATAACAGCAATAATGGACTAAACATTTCAGAAAAGTACATATAAAAATCACTCTCTTAGACTCTGGAAGAGATACAAAATTTAGATAAGACACTGTCTCTGCCCTTGTGGAGTTTATAGTCTGATGTTTTTACTTGTTGAATGGGATTGATCCATGAGCCTGGCATCTCAGATAGCATGATTTGAGTCATTCTAAACTCCTGGGGTAAACTAATAACTGCAGTTCCCTCTTTCACCTCTAATTGACACTGACAGTAATTGCCTTAAAACTTAAAAACTTACTGTTCAAATAAATTGATTTCCCATGTGAAGTCTCATCGGACTTGAGCATCTGTGGTCAGTCAGTTGAGTTGGTTAGAGCCCAGGACTAAGGGAGGATGATATTGTTGGTTCGGTTTCTGAATCTTACTTGGAACAAGTGTGTGTGGATTAATGTAGACCCCACTAAGGGAGTGAGAACAAGTCTAAGCCCTCACCTCTTGGCAGTCAGCATTGTTACCTTTGTGGAAGGGATAGCACATTCCCAGACTCATCAACATTTCTACTCTAATCATGTATTTCATCTTCTAATGAGGCAAAGTATTCTTGGCTACAGTTACCCATATTCTCTTAGAACATCTGTTCAGTAGAATGGTGCTATTGAATAATGGTGCTGATATCTGGATGGTGGCAGAAATAATATATTCATATATATGTATAGATAGATATAGAGTGTGTGTATATGAAACTATACATACTTTGTACAAAATGATACTTAATGGTGTTGCTGGCCAATGCCAGTTCTATTACTTTGATACTATGTGCTTAAAGTTTATATTATATGCTTTTTATTTTATTTTTAAAAGCTACGAATGGCAAACACTCCAAGTCCCCATGAAGGAAGAATGAAAAACTGATGGAGTTATATGGAATAGGGCTAAATTTTAAGGCAAGGGACAAAATGAAGGATAGTTACATTTACTGTTGTCAGGGAAACAAGCTTTTCACTGTACTCATTTTTACCCCTGACAATTTCTAGAGGTGATGGGAAACGGTCATGGTTGGAGACAAAAGTTCAGGAAGTGTAAAATGGAAGAAAATCTCCTGATTTTATTTTTATGGTAAAAAATTTGCCAGACTTTATTTCCAAAGCATTTATGAGTATTAGTTATCATGAATGTCAATTAAGTAATCCAATTTAGCTTAATGTAACCTGACCATTTTTTGGTCTTTATGCTTAGCCATGGGAGTCTAATAAATGACATGAGGGATCTAAGCCTGTAAACTTGCCTATGACACTCCTTCAGTATTGATCTATTGCTATCCTACCGAATTCTACAGGCTTAACCCTGACTATTCATGAAAGTAAAGATGATATTCAACGTATTTTCAAGGAGACTATACATCTTCTGACCAGATGAAAGAGTAGCAATGGGAGAGTTGAGTCCTGCAATTAAGGTACACACAGGAAAAAGTCAGACTGATCTCCATGAATCAGAACCAGAAAGCAGACATGTACCATATATAGATATCATATATCCACTTCCTAGAACCAAACTCAAATACAGGATTAGTTGTTCATGTGGCACATCTACCTGGACAAAAGTACAAAACAAAATCCTAAAATATGAAAGGATATTTCATACATCAAACATCTAGCTACACAAATAAGGGACAACCAAATGACTAATGAGCTGACAGATTTCAAAGGTGGCATCATGAGAGGTAACCTCAGGATAATATAGATGGGGCTATATGTTCTGGAGGCAAGAACCTGACCATTTTCTTCACCAAGTGTTCTTCTGACACTCAGAGATATGAAGCAGGATTAGTGCTGACTTGATTTTCTTTCTACTTTAAAGGATTAAATGATAGGTTTGGAATTGAGATTCAAGGATATATACATAGCTCTTGGAAACCAGAGAGGATTGCCACAGAGCCTGGTACTGAAAAAATATTGTAGGAGAAAAAAATTCCCCAAATCTTTATACAGATATATCTAACCTTACATGCTAATAGGGAGGTTTCCTGAAAAGCTGCCTGCAAATTCAATTTTTGTAAATTGAGTCATGTACTGACTATAGGAGTTTGGGATTCAAGTCAATCTTATATTTTATGTGTTTGTAAAGTGAATAATTATTTTATGATACAAATACTCATCTAATTTACTACAGGTATGAATTTTTGTATAATGGGTATTATTAAACCAGGATCCATCTGTATCTCAAATCTTCACTAGTTGCCAACTGAAATGTTTTTAGGGTTAGATATAGAAATTACCACAGAAGTTTCACAAAATTTTCAGGTAATTTTTAGAATCTCTAAGAATTCAGTGTAACTTAGGAAGCCAAACGATTTAGTATCCCAACTCCTCCCTGAAGGATACCAGTTGAAACCCTATCTAGCCCACAGGTCCCAACTTCTCACAAGAGGGAGGTAGAAAGTATAATATATAAAAGTGTTGGGTCTGGAGTCAGGCAGACAAGTTCAAATTCAGCCTCAGAAACTACCTGTTTGATCTTTGACAACTCCTTTAACTGCTATCTGTCTCAGTTTACACAACTGTAAAATGGAGATGACAATAATAGCACCTACCTCCCGGGGTCACTTTGAGAATCAAATGAGGTAATATTTGTAAAGAATTTAGCACAGTACCTGGCATGAAGTAGGTGCTTAATACATGCTTATTTCCTCTATTCTGTCCTTCAAGTCTCCCGTTCAAACATGGCTTCATCACAAAGATTGCAGATTTTTCAATCTTCTACTGTATGAGTTCAGGGCAAAGCCCAGGAACAGTATCTGGTGCTCAGCTGCGTGCAGCTTCAGGACACAGACCACAATTACATACATTACAAATAGAATGGTGCTGTCTTGTATCACTTGTATTTCATGTGACTCCTTCAGTTTACATTACTAATGCCTTTCTTTTTATTATTATTCGTAGTAATGTTATTTAAAATTCCATGGTTGGGGAAGCACAATTCTACCTGCCTTTATCCTCAGGAGCAGATATCACAGTTGTGATGGTACACACAGCACACAAACTGCATTGCCCTCCCTGCTGTGTTGCTTTGCAGACCCCCCTTGCCAGTCTTCTTAAGGGATGTACTTACACCTCGAGATTGAAAAAAACAACAACAATGTAATGGTAACCTGCCTTTCCAGAGGATCAATAAATGGCTGCATTCACTAATGGTTTCTGTGTGAATGTTTCGTGTATAATTTAATATTTCCCTAATACTTTGTGAAGCACTTTCACATACAACATTTTTGCCTTTAGATTCTCATAGGTGTATCTCACTGTCATCCTAGTATTCTTCTGTTATGAACAATTACTTTCAATCTATAAATAATTTTGCTATATTTTGATGGTGCTGTAATATGAAGAAAAAAGGAAGTAAAGGAAATGCTAGGGAATATGGGAGAAAGGATAGGTGAACGCATCACACATAATCATAGTGTGCAAGAAGGAGTATATGAAATATGAAAGGAATGCGTGTTTCTTAAGCTTCACTTTCACCTATCCTGGTCAAAAGGAAGCAAAAAATCTATAAATGTTGATGTAGGAACACATTCAATTCCACCTGGATGTAGATAGGTATAAGAGTAAGAAGAATCTAAGAGGGAGGGGTAGGTTTAGGAAGGGATTGGTCTGAACAAAATAAACCCTAAGCTTGGAGAGGGTATAGTGAAAAGGAAGCTAAAAGGAAAGGAAGAAACGGTAAAAACCTGAAATAAAAAGGGAGCAAGGAAGATAGAGATGAAGAAGTATAAGGGATGGGAAGAAGGGAAATGTACAATTATTGTAACTGTGAATGGAATGAATTCACATGAAATAACACATTAGCGGAATGAATTAGAAAGCAAAATCCAACAATATGGTATTTACAGGAAACACCTGAAACATAAAGACTCTCACAGAGTTATAATAAAGAGTTAGAGCAAAATCTCTGATACCTTAGCTGAATGCAAAACTGGACATAACTAAAAGTGGGGCAGCAAGGTAGAGCAGTGTATATAGCACTGGGCCTGGAGTTAGGAAGACTCATCTTTCTGAGTTCAAATATGGCCTCAGACATTTACTAGCTGTGTGACCCTGGGCAAGTCACTTAACCCTGTTTGAACTTAGTTTTCTCATCTGTAAAATGAGCTAGAGAAGGAAACAGGCAAACCACTCCAGTGTCTCTGCCAAGAAAATCCCAAATAGGGTCACGAAGAGTCAAACATGACTGAAAGTGAACAAAAGTGATAAATTAGAAAACTACATTTTGCTAAAAGGTAACATAAACAATGAGCTATTTTCAACATTTAACATATATACACTGAATGACATAGCATCTAAATATTCAAAGGAAAATCTAAATGAATTACAAAGACAAATAGTAAAACTCTAGTAGTGGGAGACATCAATATGCAGCTCTTCAAAAAAAAAATCTAACCAAAAATAGACAAGAAAGAGGGTAAGGAGCTGATTAGATTTTTTTTTTTAAGTCAGTGTGATAGACCTCTGGTGATTATTAAACGAGAATAGAAAGGAGCCTACATATTTCAGATTTCAGGGTTATATGTCAAGAATAGATCATCTTAGGATATGAAAAGCTCACAAACAAATGTGGAAAAGCATAAATATTATATACATCATTTATTGACCAAAATGCAGTTAAAATATATTGAAGGCCACTGAAAAAAATTAAAAATCAATTGAAGAATATATCATCCTAAAGAACTGATGGGTCAAAGAATAAGAGAAATTATAGATAATTCCATTAAAGATAATGAGGAAACATACCAAAATTTTAGGTATGCAGACAAAGAACCTTAGAGGAAAATAGATCTCTCTAAACACTTTCATTTAAAAAAGAAAGAACTGATAAAGCAGGAATATAACTAAAAAAATAGAAAACCAACAAATTTTAAAATACCCTAATTAA